CAAACATGATGTCTTTGGTCAACACTCAACATCTAACATGCACATGTTTTTTATTATTATTATTATTATTACATCTAAATATCTAATAATTTCATTTATCTTGAAATAATGTATTTTTCATCTTTAACTAAAAACTTAAATCATTAATAATACTATATATTTATTATTAATTATATATTCAGAGAAATTATATTTTAGTCGTCAAGTTATATCTGTGGTATAAAATCAATATCTAAATTATTGAGGTATAAAATTAGTATGTTAGTTTTTGCTCAAGTGGCATTTTTAGTTAAATGTGTAACAAAATTATTAACTAATTAATAGAAAAGATGGGTGAGGATTCATTTGATTAATATCTTTTTTTGGTCATTTGCATAACATTCTTCCTTATAAAGAATATTTTGACTGACACACTTCACCCCAGCTATAATCAAAATTAGTCCAATGGAGTATAAATTGATTGATTCTCACATTTTTTTTAGTTGGAAATGGGGTGGGCCACTCTAACATTTTGTAAGATGGAAAAGACTACAATTAGGTAAGTTAAATTAGAGCCTATACCTTTTTTAGACGGGGCAAGACCAAAAAATCACATGATTCAAAACTGAGGAACTTAATTTACACTTCCAATAACTTTTAAAATAATTTAACAAAAAAAAAAAAAAAGTCACTTGGACCAAAAAAAAAATACTATATCAACTCTCATTTCTTACTCAGAATTTTTACTCTGTCATATAAATTCTTGATGTAGAAACTTTGTCTGAGACTCATATAATAAAAATATCTAATCATTATCTGTCATATTATAGAGTACCATTTAGAAAATAAAATTTGGGATTTGATTTAGTAGATTCGGTGATTGGTTCTTAATGATTACGCACTTAATCTCCTTTTGGGATTTTATCACGTGATTCTCGTACTTCCACATACACACAGTTTTAATAATTGCAGCAATTAATGGTAAGGCCAGTTGTCTGATACTCTTAGGTCAAGGCTGCTTACCTGCGCATCCACAAACACAATAATTGTTTGCTGATTGATGCCATTTTCCTTGCTGAATAAAAAGTTCCTTTCTTTATTACTAATTACTAATTAAATGAGATCTAGTATACTCCTTAAATTTTACTTCCTGACATAGCGGATTTTGATAAGTTATTTTTTTCATGTGGGTCCCATCTATATCAAGGTTTAGTGTGTGGGAGTACAAGTTGAGAGTACAACATGAGAGTACATGTAGCATTTTCCTAATTAAATATATCATTTGCTCAAACAAAAAATTAAAAAATATATCATGCTTTTTCCATTTTCTGTGGGTCACACTTATGTGAAATTCGTGATACGGATCGGGTCAAGTTAGTTTTGAGTCAATATTAAACTGTTAAGGGAATATGTAATATTTTTAAATAAAAATGTAAAAATATAACATTTTTATTCAAAAGTATTACACTTTTTCATATAAGTAATTAATAAACACATTATTCCTGATACAATATTATATTTTTCAGTATAAGTATTACATTTTCATTTTGACCCGACCATCTCACGGACAAGGATCTGTGAGACGATTTCACAAAAATATTTGCCTTTTTTTTTTTTCATATATCATGCTTTTTTCTTTGTTAAATAAAAGGTTGGATATTTGATGAATTACCATTTAGTGATTTTAAACATTTAAAAATAATATTTTTGAGAGTCGTCGTGCATTTCTGTCATTTACACTAAAAGATCTCTTGTAAAGGCATACGTTTATATTGATATACTAGTGACCTTGTGATCGAAATATAGAGTTAATTGCTGAAATGTTCCCTTGACTTTTTGCGAAATTATTAATTTAGTTCTGAATTAACAGATGTCTAACGACAAAACAAACGGAGGACCAAATTGATTAATTAAGAGTTTTAAAGTTTAGAGATTTAATTAGTCAAAAAGTTAGTCAATGATCAAATTCATAATTTTGATATAGTTAATGAACCATTTTGATAATTAACTTTCGAAATATATATATGAATATTTGTCGAAATCTGTACATGTTAGGGAGATTTTTAAGATTTTTTTTTTGAGAGTTTAAAAAGGGAGTGAGTTAGGAGACAAAAGATATATAGTACTAATTAATCAGGGGTGGGTTTTTACAAAAAATAAAATAAAATAAAAATTATTGGTTTGATTGTTTCACTGTTCCCCAACAAGCTAGAAAATTGTCAAATTGATAGTCCATATATAATTTAAAAATTGAAGATAGATATATAATGCATGAAGCAGCAGGCAGGAAGACAGATAACAGTGCATTAATGGAATCAATTATATATCACGAGACCTTCTGATCTGCTTGCCAGTCTGTCTATTCACGTCCTCCTTCTGTCATCTTCTGCATGCATGAACTTCCCACTTCACTTTACATCTGTACGTTACATTAAATATTTATCATCATTTTAATTGATTAAGGTTCTTGAAATATGAACTAATTAAAAAATATATATTACTTTTGTTGTTTCGATTTTTGTGACAATTTCATATATAGTTTTTCTTGAATATATATTTTCAGTTTTAGACTCTTGACTTTGAATTTCTTAATTATCACTTTTAATTATATTGTTCTTGTTGATTTTTTGGCAAAAGTACAGTTCACTTGAAACCAGTATATGTTGAATATTTGCTAGAATGATTAAAAGTTGTAAGAAAATTAAAGGGCATGTTTGGCTATCAACTGATTCGTCATTTTTTGATGGATTTGACCATCTTTAGCGGTTGCTAAAGAAAATGTTTGGTTAATAGCTTCTTTACTCGGTGGGTTGCTATTGAAAACGTTAAAATTGAATCGCTACTCTCAGTAGTGTTTAGCTACTAGCATCAACGGTTCTTTTTTTTTTTTTTTTATCTTTCAATTTTGGTCTTGTTTGGTAAATGGTTATTAACTGATAGCTGTTAGCTATTAGCTAATTTGGTTAATTAGAGGGTATAACAAGTTGATAATATTAGCTGAGTGTAGAAAGATGTTTGGTAAATTAGCTGTTAGCTGATAGTTGTTTAGTATAATTTCTTTTCTTAAAAAGCTAATTAAAAAAATTGTTTTGAACAGCTTTTTGAATTTTAACATTTTGGAGTTATAAAAAATTAATAAAACCAAACACATATATTGATTTTTTAACCAAGTCAAATAGCTAATAGTAGTCAAATAAGCTAAAATTGGGCTGTAGGCTAATTATTTTACCTTTGCCCAAAGTTGAGAAGCTAAAATTGAAGTGAGAAATAATAGTGGAAATGAAAACTTGAAATTAAAATGATGGAATTGAATTTGATGTGTTTTATGTTTTTAGGTTCTTGGATAAGGCTGCAATGAAGGAGGGAGAAGCAAGTGAATTAGGTAACAAATGGACACTGGCAACGTTAACGGACGTGGAAGAAGTGAAACAAGTGATCAGAATGTTACCCACGTGGGCAACGACCATAATGTTCTGGACCGTCTACGCTCAAATGACGACGTTTTCCGTGTCGCAAGCCACCACCATGGACCGCCGCATCGGCAAGTCGTTCGAGATCCCAGCGGCGTCGTTGACCGTCTTCTTCGTGGGGAGCATCCTTCTCACCGTCGCGTTTTACGACCGCGCCGTCGTGCCCGTTTGCCGGCGAGTCCTGAACAACCCGCAGGGGCTATCTCCGCTGCAGAGAATCGGCGTGGGTCTGGTGTTCTCCATCTTCGCCATGATCGCCGCCGCCTTGACCGAAATCAAGCGGCTAAAGGTGGCCCAATCGCACGGGCTAACAAACGACCCAAACGCCACCATTCCCCAAAGCGTATTCTGGCTAGTCCCGCAGTTCTTCTTAGTGGGCGCCGGAGAGGCCTTCACTTACATCGGACAACTCGATTTCTTCCTGCGAGAATGCCCGAAAGGGATGAAAACCATGAGCGCAGGCCTGTTTCTAAGCACGCTCTCGCTGGGGTTCTTCTTTAGCTCAACCCTGGTCACCATTGTTCACAAGGTGACGGGGGAGAAAACGCCATGGCTGGCGGATAATCTGAACCGAGGAAGGCTCTATGATTTCTACTGGCTGCTAGCGATTCTGAGTGTTATTAATTTGATGCTTTTCTTGTTCTGCTCGAGATGGTATGTGTACAAGGAGAAGAGGCTTGCGGATGAGGGGATTGAGTTAGAGGAGGACGAAGAATCTGCAGCGGCATGCCATTAACACAAGACGACTGGGCCTGCGGGCCGTCCATTCATCAAGAACACAACTATGTTCGCTTCTTTGTTCCTTAATTTGAAAGGTTTAAAATAATTACATTTTGTAAGCTTGTTAGTTATCATATGTATGTGTACATAAAAAGAAATGCATGCTTATGTTTCAAATTGGTCTATAATTATATTTTATTCTTCCCATGCATGCATGTCTTCTTAATTCCTTCTTAATAATCTAATTAATTACAACTAACACACATATAGATTTCATGATGAATTGCAACGATATGATGTTGAATTGAATGCAGAAAATAGTAAAGCACACGTTGCATTTTGTAATTTGAAAAAACTATATTCAACCTTTCATTTAATTGCCAGATTTGACCCAGCATATTTCTTCTTCAACTCATGACAAGCCAACTCGTATGGGCCGGGCTGATCCTTTTTGACAGCTCTACCTATTAGACTAGTGTTCTGAAATTGGTTCTTCCTCAATGTTTTTGTACACATCGTTAGTGTTCTCAATCTAGGAGGGGAGATTGATGAGGAAGTAAACAAACATGTTTTGGCTTTCCATTAGTTAGGAGTACCTATCAAATTATGGAAAAGAATTTTGAAGGGAGGATTTTTAATTTTCCAAACCACTTGAAAGATATCAAATTGCAAAATACACTAATATTAACAATATCCGATAAAACTCGCTACCTGTGTGTTTGCACGGGTACAACATGTGTATGCATTCCATTCCATTTCATGTTGTTGATTGTAGCTTTGAAGGTAAAATTCTAAAGAATGAGAAAGATGAAGTAGCAAGGAAATGGCATGAGCTTAAAACTATCCTGTTAATTTCTGTAATATACTTATATGTTGAATAGATTTCAAGGGGGGTTGGGTTGTGCTCTAATCTTTTCAGACCTTTACAACAACAGCCATGTTTGGTTTGTTGGTTAAATACATCAATTGCATTTATTTTTAAAAAGAAAATACAAATAATTACCTAAATAAATTAATGCTTTGCCAAAGGGAAGGGGGCATGGCAAAGATGAAAAACTATAATGAATAAACAGAGATTACCAAAACTAGGCCTTAGAGCAAATATGGAATGTATTAAAGACAACTCTGTTCTTGCAACCAACACCATTCCTCACCGGAGAGAGATTGTTTCCGATGCCCTTCATGATCAGCTTGCATCGGCTCAGACAACAATCTCTTGCCGCTCACAAAGATTGATAATTACTCCACACTATCCGATCACCTCTTGGGGCGTTCTTTGTCCTCAGTTTAATCACCGGATCATTGGTTCTCTATAAAAAAAACCGTGTATATCTAAATGATTTTCGATTGTCTCATGACAAATCTAACAAGAACATAGAAAGTCTCTATAGTAATCTTGTAGTTAGATAAATCAATACTGTTATAGTGTGTTATGCACAAAACATTCACTTAGTCGTGAGTCATTGAATCAAGACAGAGTAAGGCTGTACCTAGGCAAAGTCAGGATCCTTGAAAAGAACCTAACAGATTTTCATCAATTTGACCAAAGATATTTGGGCAACCATCCCATTTTCCGTTCTCCCTAGCTTCCCAGTAACCACCAACATAACGGAATGTTCCATCTTCGCCTTCTCTTTGAAACCATCTAGGCTTCCAACCAGTCTCTTGTAATTTCTTTGACTGAGAAGAAGGAATCGGAGTCATTACATATATTTATGTATGTATCGAAGTAGCAAGCATCATTCATAAGCTTCACAGGAGATAGGCAAAACATGATGGTGGAGTATTCCTAATATCATGAGGCCTAAAGCACATAAAAGCAACAATAAAATAATCCCTCAAGTCTAACTAGATTCTCCATTGATCAAGAAGCTAAGTTCTGTGTTTTGAAAAAAAAAAAAAAAAAGGCCAACCACAATGAAAGTAGATTTAGATGCAAGATGGAAAAAGACATATCAAGGGCTGTATATTCAAATATCATAATCTAAGGCAAAACTTTGTTTTGGAACAAAAATGTTCAAACAGACCAAAATTAAAGTATCTCCTCTGCATTCTACATACTTCTAAAAGAGACCAAAGTATTTCTAGCAATTTATTATTTCTTCCCGAAATTAGGTTGGCACATGGCTACACAACAAGCAACTTTAATTGTTTTGGTCATTTGTTATTATTACTATCGTTGTTGCTTTGGCATATCAATGGAAAATCAAGAGGATTTAAAAAACTGAGGTTATTCATACAAACAACTCACTCAAAGAATATGGCAAACTAACCCCAATTTAACAGGAAAATAGCCCCTAGGTAATATCATTTTCATGCCTACCAAAGAATATGGCATGTCCAGTTAAAACGATAACTTACCTACATAACATTAAAGTGGTACGCCCAGATATTTTATTTTTCATTTTAATGCCCCATGAAGGACTAATTTTAATTAGAGTATTTGGCAACCAGAGATGTTTTAAAATAAAAATAAAATTTAAATAATAAAAGAAAGGATGAGACATAATACCAATCTCTGCCGTGTCTCTAACCGTTGTTTCTCCTGGTTTGCTTTGTCATATTCCCCATTCTCCAGATATCGCTGATCTGGTCTAAGTCTTGAATCTGTAGGTGGGAGCTTGTCCTTTATCCGTGATTAAATACCAAGGATCAGATATATAGCTATAAAAGATAATTAGTTCTATATATGTATAGAGGAAGCTACATTGCAGATAATAAACTAGTTACAGAATCATTATACCTGCAATCCTGGTGTTAACTCATTCAGAGTAATTGCAAAAGCGGACATGTTGTATCGAGTGAGATTCGGGGGAGGCTGACTGCTTTTCCACAATAAGGAAGCATCAGAAAATTCTTTGGGCTTGCTATTCCACTCTCCATTTAAATAATACATGCTCTCGTCCCACTTGCCAAATAGTGTAGCTACTTTTTTGCCCGCATTATCTTCAACAAATCCATGAACCTGTAAACTTATTGTTTGTTTAAGTTACTCTGATTACAAGATAAATTAAATGCAGATAAACTCACCCAAAGAAAAAGTACTTTAGTTAAAGTGGTATTTGATCAAAATTAACACCCTGTGAATATGCATATATACTCGAAGAAAACCAGTTGAATCAATTATTTTAATGAATCTCCACCCTTACCTGATGGGGGTTGCGTTCAAGAAGAGATTGCTCCTTGAATTTGAGTTTGCATGAGTATTGGCGATTACCATGTATATGCATTGTTCCATGGTGGTCACAGTATATCTTGCCAAGGATAAGGTTATATATGCTTGTTGTGACCTGAACACAACATCAATATTACAAATTATTTTAAGGAGCACTGTGTGAAAAATTGAGTAATCCAATCAAGTGTTTACTTTCAACAGAATAAGCCATACAGTGCAAGAATGCACTCTATGCATACCTTACTCCACTGAAATATCTCCCCATCATCAAATTCTAAAGTAAGAGTTCCAACCGGATCAAGTTGAATTGATCTCCCCCAAAACTTAGATTTAAGATTACTGTCACCCCAGAACTTCCAGCCTCTACCTTCACAATGACAGGCAATAAGTGTTGGGTGGTGGCTAACCTGTTTCAATATTTTGACAATTCACTAGTATGAATATAGACACCAAAAGTAAGTGTACTAATATAAAATGCAATTCAAAGTCTAATCCTCTTATCAGTTATCCCAGTTACTTTGCTCACCTTTCATTTTCTGGATGTTCAATTGTTCAAATCAAACTATCTTTCAGTTGATGCATTCAAGGTAATGTAATATCTAATTTCTGATGGCCATTTTTACTCGCAATATTAATTCAAAGTAAATATGTATTACTCAACATACAGCCTTTATATGTAACAAAACCCCACAGAAGCCTTCCACAAATGAAAAAGATACTAGAAAAAAAGAGACCAACACAAGATGACTCCTAGCAGTGAAACATAATGCATAATATAAGTTTGGAGGAGGGATGGGAAGAGTAAAGAAATAGATAGAGGGAAAATTAATGAAAAGCTGACAAGTTGCTGCCATCATAAGGAAATTACATTGAAGTTGTAAACCAGATGGCTCAAACAGAAATAGTAGCATTAGAGAACCAAACAAATTCATTTTCTATCCATATTCCATCATGTAAGTCAACTATTTTTGTATTACCCAAATATTTATGGCAAAGAAGTCAGAGCATCATGAAGAGCTAGCATATTGTGAAAACAGGAAATCTCTAGATATTCCCAAACTGGTTTGCTCAGATATGTTTTATTTACCCAGTAGTCCAAGAATTCTCAATGAAGATACCTTCTCGGAGAAGAACCGGATTCCCTTCTCTGGATAATCTGCTTCATAGGTTTCTCCTAGCAAAGGGTTGAAGGGTTTGCAATGCCGACCTTCTGTGGAAGCATATCCAGACACGGCAAAAGCAGCAACATTCAAAATCCTTAGGAGGCTGTTTCCCTAAAGGAACAATATTCAACCATGTTATCAATAAGGTAGATGGAATATCACTTCAAAGCGCCACTAGGAAAAATGTTAACAATCGTTGCAAAACAAACGAAAGTAGTATTTCCTCAAAATATCACCAAAATATAAGCCCAAGGAGATTTATAAACAAAACGGAATTGCAAAAATTGATAGCATGCAAATTCAAGTGTAATGATGCATCTAGTTCAAACAATACATCCTCATAAATCCACAAAATCGCTCCAAGTTCATGCATGATACAATGTGATTCAAGTGACATAGCAGGTAAATCAAATTGCAATACATTTATATCTGATGGAAAAACACATATTGGAGGATATCATGCTCTGAAATCCCAAGTATTTTTCAACATAAGAGAACTAAACAATTGATAAAAAAAAAAATAATTTAAATACAATAAAAATATAGATTTAAAATTTGAAAATCCACACAAACACGTCAAATTGACCAAAAGACATGGCCAGTGGTTGGCTTTGTAGTGAATAACATTGTAAAACTATGTAGCATGGTAGGAATGACTATTAATAGTACAAAATGCAAGCCATTACACAAAAATATAGGAAATAATAGTATCTATAAAGGAAAGAAAGGATCAATTCAATAGCAACAGCTCGTACCACATAAATTTCAATTGCTGTAATCTTATTTTTAAAATTAATTATTAATTATTAAAAAAATAAAAATTAAAAAGCAAAAAGGAAACGAAGCTGGTCATACCGCTTTGCCATGCTCATATGCCCTGTCTAAAAGATAGGAGTGCTCCAAGTCTTCACAACCTTTCTGAAGTGATGATACTGGTTCATTAAAGTACACAGGAAGGCAAACTCGGGTAAGATCTTTTCCAACATTGTCTTTAATCACAGACCATAAACTAACCGCCTTCTCCTTTTCAATTGGATCAGGTAGTTTCTGTCTCCTCTCTACTTGTGTATACAATGAATTATCGTTTTCAGAACAAATATTTTTCATACTACTAGTCTTATTTTCTAACTCCAGGCACTTATCAATTTTATCTGCTACGATTGACCCACAACTGATGGAAGGGTCTGAAAAATAGTCATTTGTATCAAAAAAGTTAGTTTCCTCTTCATCTGATGCTTCTTCAAGCTCCTGCTTTTCAACATCGTCAGATGATTCAGTAGTGCTCCATTCTGGATAAAATACAAGTTCAACTAATCATAATCTGTATGAAAGGGACAGCATTTTATGGGCAAAGCAATGATTGGGTACTAGATTATATAGAACATTTAGTTTTTATAATTAGTGGAAAGCAAGTGCAAACAAATGTCTGAAGAATTAGAATGGTAGGTTAGTTGACATTTAAAGCATAACAAAAGCAGCATGTTGTAAATATAATGTTTGAAAAATGCAAAGCATAGGTTTCAGGGTTTCATGTTCTTTAAGCTTCATATATAGCACTGTGTATAGACATTAAGCATTTGTCAATTCAGTCTTACGGATAAATGTAACTTAATAGTGTTGTTATGATGCTAAAGTACATTTAAATACACTTCAAAGCATCAAGTTGCCAAGAACTATTCATAAAGTTCAGAAGAAAGCAATAGAGACAGGTGAAAAAAAGGAAAAGAAGAGATGAATGTAAGAATACTTTGAATTTTGGTTTACTCTACATTATGAAAAAGAAAAGAAGTAATAATTCCAAGAGATATTTAACCCCAGTCTCAAATAGAATACAGCCAAAAACAATATATGATAGAGCACAATGCATTAAGCCATTGGATATCCTTTATTATTTCTTTAAAGTCATCAGTTATATAGTTCGGAGTAAATATTTCAGTAAATCAGATGTTGAAAAAAAGGGAATGCTATGTATTTAAATAGTTTAGAATTACACTGGTGGTTAAACTAACCATCCAACAATGGAGTTGGTTTTGTCAAATTTTATCAACTTGACTAAGAAAGCATGGGTTTTGTAAATTTACATACTCTAGGAAAATAACCCATACTATACAAGGAAAATAAATAAATAAAGGAGCATTTCATGGAAGCTTGTCGGCCTCATTCACATAAGAATCAGCCAAGTAAAAGAACCAACTTTTGAAAATTGATTTACTGGAAAATGATCTTTGAGAAATAGTTTGAGTTCATGGTAGAAATTTTAAAGGAACAATTAGTTGAGTACATAATATAAGTAGTAGCCATGAATACCCAACTTAGAGTTGAGAGTTGGGAATAATACAAGCCTTGAAATCACAGTTTAGCATGTATGTGTGTGTGTGTGTGTGTGTGTGTGTGTGTGTGTGTGTGTGTGTGTGTGTGAGTATAAAATTGCAAAATCTGTTTCTAATCCCCAAACAAAAGGTCACATTAGCAGAAATGATGTGTTGTCCAAATGTGACTTTGACTATTCAAAGCATACTCTTGCATTTAGCATAAATGGAGATAGTTCTTTCCCACTTCTAATATATTTCATTCCCCATTATATTTCTAAATGGAAGCGTCAATTTAAAAACATGGAGGGGTGAAGTGTGTACCACCGAACTTTCCACGCCCTAAATTTGAATATTCATGTTTTAGCAATTGGTATTCACCATCCAATATTCCAGAGGATTCCGCTTCAATATTAGCTGCCTGCAGAAGAAAAACTAAAATGCTCAATGCCTAAGATAAATACTCTCAAGTGAATCTAAAAGCACAGAAAGTAACCATATGGTGTTTGAGAGTAAATGTCATTTGGAAATCGCAATAATTTAGAAGGGGCCTAGTTTGGTTTAGAAGAATGATTTATGCTTGAATTTTACTTAAGGAATCAAACAAAGTCAACAAACAGGTCCACAGTGAGACTATACTAATTAAAATGATTACTAGCACACAAAGTCACAAAGTGTGCTGACATTGTCTCTTTCTAGCAATTTTCTTTCCCAATGGCTGAACATTGTCAAAGCACACAAAGTATGGGATATCACTAACCTCTAACTGTCTCAATGTGTCCAACAAACTTGATCGCTCCTCAGAAAGAACTTTAAGTTGGGCTTGAACTTCTGAAAATTCAGAGAGCATGATCTTCTCACAATCCTTAATAAGCCCCTCACTGATCCCCTCATCAATCAGGCGGCTCTTGAGTTTCTCCGTTGATATGGATATATCCCTGGGCAAAATAGAGATATTATCATTTACTGGTCCCCGCATAAAGAGATTTCTTGTAGATACCAAAGCTTCTATCCATGCTGCTTTCTCTTTCTTCGAATTTGTCCTTAGGTGTAGAGTCTTTGTAGCTGTAAATATGTAAAATTTCCGGTCATCTGACCTGCTCTCACGGAAGGACGACACCTATAAAGAAATTCCCAACAAAAATATAAATTTTATTGAGATAACATATCTACTCTTTCCTCATTTCCAAGAAAAACAAAAGCAAAAAGATAAAATAATGCACTACTTACTATATATACTACTAGCTAGGCTATCAAATTCCCAATTGCTAAAGAAAATGAACAAATACATGTGTATAATGAAAGAGGAGATTAGTAAACAAAGCAACTAAAACAATAATGGATGTTAGCATTATTACATGAAATCAAGGCTGAGCAATTCATGAATGTAAGAAACCCATCAAGCTATGGCTGATAGTGAACCTGAACCACTCATTCAAGCCCAGGCTGTAATACAAATAAGGTGCCAATTCAACATCCACTCAAGCACAGGCTGTAGGCTGTAACACAAACAAGCAAGCTTCCTACACCCACTCCTACTTGTTCAAGAAAAGGTTTTTAAGGTTTCAGGCAAACCAAAACCTGCACCCCTTAAATAAACAAGCAATAATATATTTTTTTATTATAACCCTTTTTTTTTTATTATTGTTTTTGGCGTTTTCTGAGTTTTTACTTGGTGCTACACAACTGTGATAAACTCATTCAGGCATAACCCAGTTAGTTAACTCCATAAAAGCCAGTAGCAAGAGAAAGAGAAAAATAAAAAGGACAAAAAGAAACAAAAAACTTACTGTAGATACAGTATGAGAAGAAAAAGGTAGAAGGCAGATCTATCCATATATCGTTCAACACTGTTCCGCATTTACTATTTTAATCAAGAAAAAAACAATGCTTTCTTCATCATCACCAAAGAAAGATGAGATGAGACGAGATGAAGGATGAGACTTGTCAACAGAGAAGAAAGGGAAGAACCCAGACACGGAATCAGAAAGTCAAGCTGACAAATGTTATGTGTGTTCTGCAAGCCCAAAAATGAAGAAAAAGGGTCTCTGGTAATCAGAAGATTCAGAACCAAATCAACCCAAGCACGCCATGGAAATATTATATATATTTATATTTATTATTAGTATTAAAAGAGCCGTAAACCATGGTTTTTACCGCAAAACCTAGAAATAAATCCCTGACCCTGACCTATAATAGCCATAGGGTTACTTCTGGGCTGGCTCGTCCTCCTCTTTCTTGATGTGACTCACTAAAAGATTAACGAGCAGTTAAATCTGATGGTAAAAATTAAGAATGAGAGATTTCAATCACAGACCTGATGGAAAAGGGCGGAAGGGAAGGGTTTTCAAGAAGCTCAGATTTCTAAGCTATTTGGTGGCAGCGATGAACAGAAAATTTTCATTGATTTGGAAAATGGTAACAATCTGAGTGAATGTCATCCATTCATTGCGTTACCCATATTGGAAAGTATTCTTCTCTCTTTTTTCTTTTTAGTTTTTTCAGAAATGAAATGTACGTCTCCCAGAAGGTCACAGGCCAGACCACCCGATTGTAAACTCCTGATATTTCTCTTCATCGCATCTTATCACATCACTCCTTTTCTTCCCCACTGTCCCAGGGCACAATGTCTGTGCCAGTGGAGTGGGCCGAACCAAGAGAGAGAGAGAGATTAAGAGAGAGAGAGAGTTTAAATTTCATATTTGCTATATATACCTTAAGGTGGACAATGCGGACGGTTTTGCGGAGTTTACGTTGGCCGGGATTGTTGGAGGGGAGGTGGCCGATGAGCTTGACGCCGTCGTCGGCGGCGACGACACCGGGGCGGCGAGTTTTGGAGTAGGAGAGGATGCCGTTGCGGAGAGTGAACCACCGGGATCTCCACCCGGTGTGGTAATTGGTCCACTTGTAGAGCACGCCGGCGACGCTCGTGGCCGACTCGGATCCTATTATGCCGCAAACCTCAGATCCGATGACCGCCGATCCGGTCCTCAACAACCGCGCCGTCGGCTCCGGCGATTGCTCCTCGATCGCGCCGCTCTCCAGCAACACGCAACAGAGCGGATGCATTTCCCTCACCCGCATTTCGATCGATCAATCGCTCCCAATTCTTCTCTTCTTAATGCGCCCGCCGCGACTCAAACTCCATTACTACACTGCTCCCTCTCCTCTGCCCACAAACACAACGCACAATAAATTCCTTTTCATTAAAAATCAAAATCAAAACGCAGAAAGATTCACATATACTACCACCACGCACATAATCGTATACAAACGCCAGTACATATCACCACAATACGTGTATGGGTGTCCGCGAAGCACCTGATCGAGAGAGCTCCGAAGCTGAGGATTTCGAACTTTGGGGGAACACGATGAGGGAGGGGGTGACTACAACTCTATCTGATTTCCTGATCTTTGGGCTCAAAAGATAACGGAAAAGGGATTTGTATAGAGGGATAGAATCGGTGATTCAATGGTCAATTTGAGCTCGCCATTGATGGAGAAACCTTCCTCTTGGTTTGTCTGCAAAGAGAGTAAAGACAGAGGTTGAAGCTGAGTGGGAGCTAAGATCGATTATAAATGGGTCTTATGGGGGAGAGGGGGTTGGGGTTGGGGGTGGCATTTATTTCTCAAAATTTTTTATTTTTATTTTTAAGAAAAAAAAAATTAGGCTTTCATTTTCATGTAAGGTATTTTAATTTTGTTTGCTCCTATTCTATGACCGGAAACATGGGAATATCGCATATGCCTCTCTTCAAAATCTTTCAAACTTGGTGGCACTTGATATAGTAAAAAAATAAAAATTTTAAAAATAAGATATTTTCTATTCCTTTTGAACAATTATATTATATGTTATCACAAATACATATAACAGGGTAACAATTTTATCGTTAAAAAATGCTAGTAAAGAATAATGGAATATAAACCGTAGAATTGTTACCCGATCCTGTGACCTCGCTTAGTGTATCCGTAGACCACAGCCAACCAAATTCGGAGAAACCCAACAAAAATTCCCGATCTGGTCCAAAACACAATAGCCGCATAGCGCTCAACCAGAAATTCATGGTTGAATCCCAACCACCTCCCGTTGGAATAGTAGTGACACTAACCTAATCATGGACGCCTGTTATCAGTGTGTTGCCACATAATCACTTAGGAGCAAAACGCACAATCATATTATATCCCATCAAGCCATCAACACCGTTATAGCACTTGGCACAACTACCGTAGTTGGCGAACCCACACGTAATACGTGGCAGGCATGTCAGAAGATCAATATGTGCCCCCTTGCCCGCCTATATATAGGGTGTTCATTGTCTTTAGGGGGGAGGGGGTGGAGGGACTTTGGAGATGAGAGAGAAGGAGACTCAACTACCAACTAAATAAAAGAGAGTTTATTCTCCACTCAATCATTTAGACATTAAGGCTGTGTTTGGAAACTCGGAAAATGACTTCTGGAAGTCATTTTTTGGGTTTTTGGTGTTTGGCTACACCTGGAAAATCCAGTTAACGGAAAACATTTTTCGTTGACTGGGGAAAATGAGCCCAATTTGGCGAAAAATGACTTCCGCCAAATTTGGGCGGAAGTCGTTTTCCGCCTCTTCTCTTTCATTTTTTTTTTTTTTAATTCTGGCAGAACTGGGTTCTGCCGGAAGCCATATTATTATTATTTTTTTTAAAGATTTAAAATGAATTTTTAATTCAGAATAAAATAATTAAAATATTTAATTATACTTTTTTTTAAAGTAAAATATTTAATTATACCATTCTACTCATTTTCCAAAAAATGAACCAAACACACCAAAACAGTTTTCCAAATGCAACCAAACACTGGAAAAGGAAAATGTTTTCCGGAAAATGACTCATTTTCTAGAAACCATTTTCCAGAAGTCATTTTCCTCCTTTCCAAACGGACTCTAAGGTTGGGCACTCCTTGTAAACATGACTTGCTGACAATCCTTAGGGGCCGTTTGGTTCACGGAATGTCAGATTACCTTAGGGAATGTTGGATTGCTGGGAATGTTAGATTGTTGGGAATGTTAGATTCCTGTGTTTGGTAAAAACTGAGATATATAATATAAACATGTTTGGTTGAAGTATTGTTATTTATGTTATAATGATTATTTTACTTTAATACCCTCAATATATTTTAATGCATTTCAATATTCCAATGCATGTAACCATGCAAAATTTGATATATATATATATATATAATTAATTTTCATTCTTTCATCCGAAAAGTTGACTCGTGACTTCATACATACAGATTCTTTAATTTCTACAAATTCAAATGTGGCTTCCACAAAGTTGATTTTTCATGTTAAGCAAAGTGAACTTAGCTTGCTTGCTTTAACCGAAAGGTTAATTTTGATTTTTTTATTTTTTTTATTTTTTGGTAAAAAAACAAAGCAATGTGATGGAAAATGAAGGGCAAAGTTAGTAAAATGTCAAGGGAATCTTTTAATACCTAAGAATTCTAAGGGAATCACATTCCCTTCAAAAGAGGGAAAAAGATGATGTGGAGGGTAAATTTTATTCCATGGGAATGTTGCATAACTCCAACCAAACATAGGAATCTTATATAACCAACCAAATATAACCTTGGTTATCTTAGATAACCCGAACCAAACGCCCCCTTATAGTTACTTGCGCGTATATAAGCATTTTCAAGTGCATTAAACAAAAAGTACTACCTCCTACTTGATCATTATGAATATACATTAGTTTCAATAAGAATTATGCATTATTTTTCTCAAGGCACAATTTAATTGATCAATCAAGATAAAATAAGTTAATAATTTTATTTTACTAATAGCCACAAAAAGAAGTATAAAATTGATTTAGTTATGGTATTATTGTATAAACATAGTCTCCAAGTGGAAGCAATATTATTATTGATTGGAATCAAAGACTTCTTACTTGTATAACTAGTAACCACAATGTATCACATCTGACATGATTTTTACTACCTTTCTCATCTTCATAATGTGTGGACTAAGCAACTTTACTGTACTGCAAGTTTACCATAATATTTATAACAAATTGTTATATTTGAACTAGATAACTAACTCCACTATGTATAATAGTTGCCTTAGCTTTAAAATGTTCAAATTTGAACCACATATGTGGAAAGCTAATATGATTATACACATACTTACCTGTACCGCCATGTATTGAGTGAGCGATAATCTCAAATCATACAATTCTAATACAACCACCCTATTATGATATTAAAATGTCTTTTGTAATCCATTAATGACAATTTATATCATGGATCAAGGTCCACATAGCATTGTAGATCCTGGATAAAAAAAAAAATCGACGAATTATTGAATTCATACTCTAAGGTATAAAATTTTAGAACACAAGACACATACACATGTTATATATTAGTTCTTTTTAAAATTTGATTTAAGTACAAAATTTGTGTTCATAGGCATATAATTTCACAACACAAGACACAGAAATTCATAATATAATTAAGACACAACTATTAATTTGTTTCAAGTACAGAATTTTATAACAAAAAATACAAAAACTCACAACATAAAACACATACACTACATACACTAGGGTTTATAGTGCACTGTGAACCTGGTTAAAGGATTGTCGATCAATGGTATGGCTCCAATGGTTCATTGGGCTCAGGTCTAGGTTTGGAACCTGTAACTGTATTGAGCTTGGATGCCTAAACACACAATCGTTATGCTATGGACCCGTGTCCAGCATACATTGTGGACACGGTAACGGTGCCGTAAGTGGCACCGTTATCTTCCATCAATTTTTATTTTTTTTTTAAATTTCAGACCGCTTCTTTCCTGATGATCAAGCTTCCATTTCTTCTTCACTCAAAATCTCTTTTCAACGCTCATTCTCCCATTTTCATAATTATAGGAGCATATGTTCATAATTTTATCACTATATGTTCATAATTGTAAGTTCATAATGTCAGAGCTCTGTGTTTATAATTCCATAATTGTACATTCATAATTCCATAACTGTACATTCATAATTCCGTAACTGTACATTCATAATTCAATAACTGTACATTCATAATTCAATAACTGTAAATTCATAATTTTCGAAGCTCTATGTTCACAATTTTAGAGTTCTATGTTCATAATTTTATCACTATATGTTCATAATTGTAAGTTCAAAAGTCAGAGCTCTGAGTTCATAATTCCATAACTGTACATTCATAATTTCATAACTGTATATTCATAATTGCATAACTGTACATTCATAATTTCATAACTGTACATTCATAAGTCCACAAACGAATAACGCCGTTAACGGCAAGACAAAATTATTTTCTTTTTAAAATTAAAATGTCGTCGTTTTCTCTGAAAACGACGTCGTTTTGGACTCATGTCCACAATGCATAGTAGACACGAGTCCACAGCATAATTTGCCCTAAACACAATATATGACTAAATAATCCAAATAATAATCTAGTATATATTCCTTATAAGTTAAGTACAAAGCTTACATATAATACAATGCAACCCGAGGCAAGCCATTGGCTCAATATAGTAGGTGTTATTGCCCCAGCAACATCAATATAAAAACAATCACTAACAAAGTAACAAGCAACAAAGAAAATGCAATTATGAAAACTAAATAGTTTTGAAGTATGGAGGCAAGGCTGCATTTGGTTGATGGATTTACACCCCAGGAATGGAATCAAAATTATAGTTTAATGTTTGGTTGACAACTTTTTAAAATACAATTATGAGATTTGATTACCCCCTTCAATTAAAAACGTCATTTCATAATTAAAAACGAGTATCATTCAATCTTATTGGTAATCTAATTTTTAAGTTTGGATTAATATTTTTTTATTTTTGTTTTGATTTTTTTTTCATATTGGTGTTTTGGATGTCATTATATTAGGATTAACTGACTTGATTTTTTATTTATTTGTATTTTTAGAACTTTTATTTCCATTAATATGAATATTAGTAATCATCTCAATTCCGCCATACTACCAAACATAGGGGTGTGCATCGGACGGTTCGGTTCGGGGTGGGGTTTGACTAAACCGCTCAGGTTTCGGTTTGGTAATTGTAAAACCGGTCCTAACATTTTATGTATTAAATCTTTCGGGTTCTTTAGTTTTCGGTTTCGGTCGGGTTGGTCGGATATCCGACTCGTGTTCGGGTGAAGCAAAATTGATATAAGAATAATAAAACTATAAAGGTAAATCAAGTAAATTCAAGACAAAATGCCTTAATGCCATACAAAAAACCTTAAAACCCCAAAACTGAATGATTTACAGTTTACACTTTACAGTTTAGCATATTACACTTCACAAAAAACCAGAATTACAGATTTACAAATTCACAAAAAGCCATGTTGAATTGTTGATTCCTGATCACAAAAAGCCATGTTGATTCCTGATCACAAAAAGCCATCATGATTCCTGAATCTTGATCCTACTCTAAATCTGTAAATCTGTAATACTCCTAGTGTAGTAGTGTTCTAGACTGCTATTCTTCTTCCTGTTAAAACTTAGTGCAATTTAGTAAATGAAACAAACAAGTGAAACAACTAAACAAGTAAAAAAACAATAAGTCAATAATA